ATGATTTGTCACACATACAAGCCATGTAGTCAGTCCTTTCAAAGTTCGAACGTGTAAAGTACCAACCGGGTCACCTGGGTCACAGGTGACCCGGTACTATATTTTCAACCAGGTCCAAGCGCCGCCCAACCGGGTCTATTACCCGGCTCACCTGGCTCTGGAGCAGACACTGTGTACATGTACATGTACAATCAATCTGTCATGTTCAAAGGATCAGTCAGGGAAGTAAAACTGCCTGAAAAGGGAAGAAAAATGCCAGACCCACCAGGACTCTAACCCGGGACCTTGCATGTCATGAGCAATCTCTAACCATCTGAGCAATGGGACCAGGCTGAACCTACAAGGCGCTGACAAGTTTTTCACTCCAAAGGCAGCTCACAACACGTGCCACACATACTGATGGCACTTGGGTCTTTCTCCTTCTCCCAGCAGCCAACCACGGTCAGTTTCTGGAACGTGCTACCAGAGGTGAAAGAAGGTGATTAATTTTGAGAGGATTAAGAGAACTTCAAATCCACATTCGGTGAAAATATCGGTGATTTCTTCAGAACCACTGTTTTTGGTGAATTTTTCGGCTGCCCGATTTGGGAAATGACTACTCGTGGTACATGTAAAGATACAATCATGCAATCAAAGGTATTAAGTTAAAGAGTAGACCACGGTGCTGATACGGCAGCACTGTAGTTGAGTAGAAGGGCCACTGAAGAAATCCACTTCCCTCCCTTTTTCAACTGGGCGTCCTCCACTGGTGAATGAATGGACTTACATGTACCTTGCCATACCGTTGTACTCTGCCATGTGTGGAGCGACGCAGACTTGCTCAATGTCTATAGTCCAAGCCTTCTGCGCAAACATTCCCACGCACCTCCAGTTTTCAATTCCAAGCATGCTAGCTGGTTGCAGCCCTGCCGAATAAGAGACCAGTAACGGTATCAACCTACGCTACAGGTATAACGACAACGTAATAAGCAATACAGTCAGCGGCGTCGGAAAGTATTTTTGGTTGGTACAGTCGGCCATTTGAGGTGTATTCTGGGGGGGGGGGGGGGGGGGCTCTGCTGAATATTTTGAAAATGTAGAGCCCAAATCAGGGCATTTTATTGATTCGTGGCGCATTAATTTAAAAACTGGGCAAATATTGATGCGGTCTATACTGTAGTGACCATAACATGTCCGACGCCCCTGCAGTAGAAACTCGCCTTCTCTGTTCCTATACATAGACACCTCTCTCAACTGGGCACCAGGCAGGCAGCCCGTGACCTGAAGCCAAATTTCAGTTTTGTCCAAGTTCTCCCCGGGATTTCAAACGTGGCCACTGCGACTGATGTATAGTCACCACATGAAAAGCCATCATAACCTTTAGATCCAGGTCAGTGTGCTTGTGAATGCACGGTATAGATGGCTTGGTTCTGCAAGCCCATTTGAGCTGCGAGAATGGTACTGTAAAAGCCATTATTCTAACGAGGCGCGTATATGTGACGATTTCCCAAAATTGACTAGTTTACGTGTACCAAAGGTAACGATTCTCACTCATTCTCAACGCTCAATAGGACAGTATATGTATCGATTTCTGTATAACGATTTCTATTTTAACGACAGATTTCTCCTCGTTAACTTGTTAGAGTTAGCACTTCGTTTATTTTTATTTATGGTTATGGCTTTTACAGTAGCTCATACAAGTACTTCAGAAGTACCCGTAATCATTACGGTTGCGTATAGTTCACCCCTCTGTCCGAAGTCGGCCGGATTACGGAGAGGTTCTGCCGTACAGCTGATCTTATTCTGTGTAGTGAGACATCACCCTCTCGATCCTTAGGACAGTGTTGACTGATCAATGTAGCACCGCCAATGGCCATGTAGCAGAAAGAGTAAAGTTACGGCAACCTGCATTACCCGCGTGCTCTGCCGAGGTTTCCGACGAAGACCTGGGAAAACCCCGCATGAACAGAATGCCGGCATGCCGCAGTGCCCAGTCGACAATGGCCACCGCGAAAAAAAGAAAAAAGAAAAAATCACTATCGACTATACTACTACCAGAAAAGTGAGAAAACAATCACAAAAGTGACGAAACACAATGCCCATGCATCATGCATGTCACACTGTCATGTATGTCATGTATTATATCTCTCGGCTGGCTTGGATATCCGGATGCACACGGGAAACACGTCGTTCCAGTTGCTTGTACTCTGTCAGTACCGCTGTTCATCCAGCCCGCGCCCGTGCCATCATAATGGTACCCCTCTCGTACTCGTGTAGGAACCTGTACTTGGGGGGGGGGGGCTTCTGTGACCGTGGCCTTGTGTTACACCCTTTACTAGGAGTCGTGGGTGAAACCTGTCTACGCCCGACTCAGCGACTGACCCAGTCCCTCAATCGTTAGGGACCCTGGCCTATGAACATAATATGTACTTCAAGTACACTGTACAGATGGTCTTCTCATGCCGAGTCGTTTGACTGGAAATAACATTCTTTTGGTCCTACAGTAGATTTGAGCCCCGAAGAATGTGGAACCCAAGATTGTTCCGGCTCTGGAAAAAACCGCGGGCAGAAATTCTAAATTCTGCTGAGTTGTTCTGCAGCGTTTTCTGCAACTTTTGCACCATCCTTGTAGCTAGCTCGATGTTTAGTAACATTACCGGTAGTTACTGGTACTTCACGAGTACATAACCAGGCTATGGGATATCCATAACCAAGTTATGGTATACAGTAGAGTCGCGCGTCCAAGGACGTACAGTAGTTTCCAAGAGGTTAGCCCGGGGCGTTCTTATTTTTCAGTAATCTGGCTGCGTTCTTAGAACAGTTTGCGCTGGATCATAATTATGTACATGGTATATACAGAAGCCTTGCTTGGTAGTTTAACATGTTTTCCGGTTTTGACAGCATGTTACAAGGCGAGGACGCGTAGTGCTCCTGACTACAACCATAACCCGGTTGGCAGAGTCCCGGTCTTGCGACCATTTGAACCGTATTGGGAAAACCCAGGTTCGGACCCTCGTTACTCTAGGGGTTGGTTGGATTTTTAGAAAATTTCGTTTTTTGTGTTGTAGAAATCGTCACGTGAACAATACTACGGCGGCAACACGACGACTTCTACAACACAAAAAACGAAATTTTCTAAAAATCCAACCAACCCCTAGAGTAACGAGGGTCCGAACCTGGGTTTTCCCAATACGGTTCAAATGGTCGCAAGACCGGGACTCTGCCAACCGGGTTATGGTTGTAGTCAGGAGCACTACGTGTCCTCGCCTTGTAACATGCTGTCAAAATCGGAAAATCATATGTACATGTATTCCAAAAGCTGCCGGAAAACCAACATGTTCTTAGTGCTATCGAAAAACCCGATAACCATTATTCTATGGTACTCTTGCTAAGGCTTGGCTCATGCATGATATAGGAATATGATTGATAACAAGACTGTCAAGAGTACAATGCGTATCGGTTATAGCGTGGTCGTGTAAAAGAATTTATCACTCTCTTATTATTGACCCCCACAGAAACTTGTGATCTCTAAGCGGTCAAATATCAGCATATATTGACCGCTTATATTGACCACTTATATATATATATATGTACTTAGCCCGAGGACTTAGAACTTTTCCTCAACTTAGAAAAAAATCAGAACTGAAAGAAGAAAAATCTGAAGCCAAATGCTGGGATTTGAACCCAAACTGTCAGATTCTCAGTCAAAGGACTTGAGGAACATACTACAAGAGACAAATGAAAACTTCGGTTTACACAGAAGTAATGTCCAATGTAAACGGCATATGTACATACTATTATACTATTACAATAGTATTCCTTTCTTCCTATAGCAAAGCAAAACCAGTTTTAGGTATACTATGTCGTGATAAATCTATTATTGCCCTCATAATCGGTCAATATATGAAATATAGACCTCGTAATAGACCTCGGGGGACCTCGGTCTTTTACTCGTTCTATATTTCATATATTGACCTCTTTAATCGTGCAATAATATATACATACTGCCTACAAGAATGAACGCTCATATTTTCATAATCATAACATGGATTTCAAGTGCACATTTATTCTTACAAGCAATTTTATTATTATTATTATTATTATCAAATTTTTGATAGGGCAATCCCCACAGGCCTTTATCCCATAGTAGAATATATCGGTCCTAAGAATGGACTTTGTGTCGCGAAACATGCCAGATTGTACAAAGTGTATCGCCTGTAGTAATTACAGCTGTCCATTTCCGTTCTGATCTGACTCTCGTTGCGTCGTAGTGCTGCAGATTCAACTGTTGTGGTCATGTAACTCATGTTGCATAGCCACATGGTAAGCCTATGGGACTATGACCAGCCACATGCACAGAAGTACTGCGTTGCATGTACGATGATCTTCCTGCCCATGCGCACATGCATATGATATGCCACACTTATTATTATTATTATTTTAAATTTTGAATAGGACACTTGATTTATCGTGTGTAAGAAATATCGGAAATAAGAATAGAAAGTCGCTTTTCAAACACCCACGCTATAACCGATACCTACTGTACATGGTTTTCATGTACTCTTGTTGATAGTACATGACATGTATCAACCAAAGCAAAAAGACAACCCAAATTCGGCAATAAAATAGAACACTCAAAGTGCAGCAGCTATTCTGCAGAGTAATTTTACACAATTTGTGGCCAAGACTCAGAATGACAGATGCAGTGATTCCAGAGATGCAAGTATACTCTGCTTTTCCCAAGGGAAGTTTACCAAGAATGCCCAGCCCAAGTTATACCGGTCACTAGTATAGTCTAGAATACCCGGTTCGAATAGAAGCCTACAAGCATTGACATCAATTTCTACAGGAATAGCTATAAGCCCGGCAATACTATGCGACAAAAAGGCATGCATGTCATGATATTAAAGTCAACGTCTGGTCTCCAACAATGGACGATCCAAACCCCTGGACACAGCGCAAACCAAGCCCAATGACAAGGCGAAACACACACGCACACACACAGCATCAGAAGAGGAAAACCGAATTGCACAGCACGCAGTGCTCTACCTCATCTATCCATCGTAAGACTACTTCTCATGGGCACTACAATAATGTGTTGCATGCGAGTGTACGGCGTGCTCCGACTTGATAAGGAATGCCTAAGCTAAACTCTCTGGACGTACGTACAGTACTGCACGTGAAGTACATAGAATAGTTTTTAATAGAAAAAATCATACACTAAACCGCACGGTTGGGACCCTGGTCAACGCAGGAAGGGAAGAGCGGACGAGGATGGAGGGCGCAGGGTTGGAATATTAGACAACCGAAGCAGTGGGGAAAGCAACGGGTGCCATGAGAAGGACGAATGAATAAGTACAAGATCTAATAGGAATGTGGGAGCAATTCTTTGTGACATATCCAAAATTAACCGGCCAAACTAGACGAACGAATAAAGGTGCCGGCAAGGTGTCTACTTCTGTTCAAGAGTGCGGATCTTGATGTTGGCGGTGGCGAGTTTCTCCTCGAGCGCCTTGATCTCAGCCTTGAGAGTGTGGTATGCCTTGAGGAGCTGTAAACAAACACAATAAGCAACGTAGATCAGCACAGGAATCATGCAAGTCAGAAAAGCATTGCAGTTCAGCACAATAAAAAGAACATGCGGGAAATGGCAGAGTTCTCCTCAACAGACGTAAGTAAAGACGAGGTTCACGGCACAGAATAACACAGAGGGGAAACGAGTGATGTCAGTAAGTACACCGTTGTTCGAGACGAATTGTAGCAGAATGTATACCAAACACATGTTTACACGAAAGCTAGACCATCCCTCTGAAACTACGGCCCGTATAGCACAATGGTCCCACTGGCTACTGAGAATACGGTTTTGCCAGAAGAAGGTCTCAAAACCAACCTCACACCACTATACATACAAGGCACTAGTACCGGAGGATGCACCCAGTGTGCTGAGAGTGCCCGATACTGCGGAGGCAGAGTGTTATTACACACAGCAGCAAGGCACGCGAGACACTGAACTATTGGGGTGCCAGTTTTCGATGAACGGACTCTACACAAGGCAGCACACATACAAGCGACTGAACGCAAACAGAAACTAACCTCTCTCTCTCCCTTGGGCACTGCCTCTTCCTCGACGACCTTCTTCTCGGGGGCAACAAATGTTGGCCTTGAGCTGGGCACGAATCCATCCTTGAGGTTGATGAGCTTGGGCTCGGCGTTCTTGCCGGAAAGCCACTCCTCGGCCGTAAGGGATGGCTCGTCGCTGAGGCATGGGGGGAAGAGATCCTCCTGGAAGAGCTCGGACTGCACAATAGCACACAATTACGAAAAAGACATTACGTCAATGGAGTACATAAATAGGAGAAGGCGGCACACGGAATGCTGAAGAGTCTGGGTGAATTTAATTAGGACATGCAGACCAAGAGTAGTAGAAGTAGCAGACCTATGCCAAAAACAATGTGAAGTCAGAACCAGCTCAAATAGCAACATACGAATTTCATCAATATTTGGAAAATGACCAAAAAGACTCAATTTATGTGCGGATAGCATATATGCAGCCAACATTTTGGTTCTAGTCCGAATTCGACGGTGAAAATTTTCCATGAAGATAGATTTTGAAATAGTGATAGCGACTTTGGCGATACCTTTATAGGAAAGGGTCTGCTCCCCACACTGCGCATGCTCCAGTAGGGGGAGAAGATACTCTCCCATAAGGTAGAATTTGAATGTGAAATTTTGCATGACTTTGCCTCTAGACCGTTTGAATACACTGAGCGCAAAATCTCAATTTCTTACATGTGGTGTTTGCCGTGTTTAGAGTCTTACTGGAAACCCAGAAACTTTCACGGCCAGACCGATTTGAGATAGGAGTCAATTTCCTCTGTTTCTGTACTACAATTATACGTTTCGCGCCGGCTTGCTTTTGCGTTTTCACACGATCGCGAAAATGGCGAAGGAGTCCGGGTTTCCAATAATTACTCTTCTGACTTCATATGGTACGCAGTAATGCAGACAGCGGCAAAGAAACGATCAACGACTTGCGCAGTGCCATATGGCCACAGCAATGCACGCCAAACCCAAACAAGTAACTAATAGCCTTACCTTCCTGGGCACCTTGAAGCAGATTGGCTCAATAAGTCCCTTCTGGTGGAGCTTGTACAAGCGCATCACTTCACAGTGGGGCACATCGACGGCACGCTTGGGGAGAATTCCCAAACCACGCTGGGGTGCAGATGACTTGTACTCGTCCAAGTAGAAGCAGTATGGCCGGTCCTCGACGAGCTCGTAGTAACGGACGTTACCGTCACCCTTACCGGCCAAGTAGACCATGTTGGTGTTGAAGTCAAAGAAGGGGAAGAGGACGCCGGAAGCGGTGTCGATCATCTCCATCTTGAGTGCTTTGCTGATGTCGCTAGTGTCCCAGATAGCGTACTGACGCTCGCTCATCTTGGAGAAACCAGTTGTGAAGAGTCGGTCGGCGCTGGTGAAGATGACACGGCATGCCTTGCTACCGGCATGTCCCTGGCCCTCCTTGATGATGGCACCATCACGGGGGTTGATGATTCTGATCTTCTTGTCTTTGCTCGATGTGGCCATTTGGCTACCGTCAAAGTTGAAAGAGATGCTGTAGATAGTGTCAGTGTGGCACTCGATTCTAGTCACGGCCTCGCCAGTTCCGACATTCCAAAGAATAATCTAACATCACACAGAAAAGAAGGTACACATGCATACAAGTTCAGCACATGGAAAGCAAAAGCAAACGTGCACGTAGCATTTAAAAGGGGAGCATGAGGGCAGCACCATTTGAACAGCGGGAATATGCACATCACTTCAGCACAGGAAAAACACATGACACAGTACAGCCCGCACTGGAAATACACACAAGTGCAACCTACCAGGTAGTCGAATCCAGCAGAGGCGAGGATGTTGTTGGCTGTTGGATGCCAGAGGACGGATCCAACTCTTCTCTGATGACCCATCAAGTCGACAGCAGACTCGGTCAAGTTGTCGGTAAGACCACCATCGGGAATGATCCAACACTTGACCTAAAGCAGGTGAAAAGGAACATAAGAAAGAGGCAACGGCACACCAAGGTAAGAAATCGGTCACGACCTGATGATCCGTTGCAAATCACGACCTGAATGCCACAGGGTGAAGGTGGCAAATAGCACGTACATTGCCCTGACCATACGCAAAATAATAGCAGGGGTTACTGTTATACTGAACATTCGATTGCTGGTTTAATTTTCTGAAAATATGCTCAGATCAGCAGTACCAGGGCATGCAAGAAGCCCAACAAGAAGGTTGAAATGCATATTGGTACAGAAGTCGAAAGAGCCCAAACAACCGACCAATCAGTCACCTGCAGAAAAATGACAGTTGATCGGTGCAATGTGGCAGTGAACCCAGACACTTGTACAGGATTTGCCCCGGGTGAAGCAGTTGCACACTCAACATACTGTATACTGGGATTTCGCTGAGAGCTTTTACTTCTAGTAAATACGAACGATGGGTTTCAAAATTTGCAGCACTGTGTTATTTAACTTGCATTTGCATGGAGCAAGAGTAAATGACCAAGAGAATGCAACTGCGATCTTGTCCATGGCCAGATGCGTTGAACAATGCCTTCAGTACATCATGCAGCTATAGCGTGCACTAAAGAAAGTCAAACAGCGCCCGTGGTGTGAAGCCAGCTTTAGTACGAAACCGAAGTCCATGCACCCACAATAGAGAGAGAGAGAGGATTGATTGTATTGGTACGAGAGATTGTGGGTCTGAGTGCATAAGAGCATGGTACCATTCACAAGAATAGAATGATAAAAAACAGCAGTAATTTACAGAAGGGTCCTTGTCACGAGTGTTTGGTAAGATTTGGACCCATACTAGTAACCAGAGTCTTATCAGTGCACAACATGTACATGTATAAACGTGTTATTTCGGCAAACATACATTGAAGTTAGTCAAAGGCACGGTTGCTTGGATCAAAAATCAATGGATCTGAACTCGATAATCCATCGTCAAAAATCAAGTGGATATTATGGATCTGGATCCTATCAAGCATAAGGCTGTCCCTGCAGAATAACGCGGACAAACCCTTAAATTATGCGCGTAATTACGCGGGCGAAAATAGGTCAATATGGGGGATTATGTGGTAAAAATGCGGTCATCATGCAAGGGCTATCTGTCATGGGTACAACTTTGGTGCATAGTTTCATGCAACTAAACAACTTTGTCGTACAAACGCATGGACCAGTACAACTCTGTAGTACATTTTAACCATCATGTACTATTTCTTGTACATTTCCATGGAGAACGCGGGTTCAACGCAAAATTTGTCGAAAACGAGGATGAACGCAAATAACGTGGAAAACAGCGCATCCCCGGTGTCGAGTAATCGTTGTTCAGTACCTCACACAGCCACGCCCGCCCAAGTGGCTGTGTGAGGTGTCACTGGTACAAACTAAGTCATTGCGCCATGGGCTTATGCTCCAACGCATTCATTTTGTGCCATTTTGTACGTGTTCTGGGGGGGGGGGTATATTATTCATTATTGTACACACGGAGTACAGCCAGTACAAACCTTGGAGTGACGTTTCGATGTTTTACATCATCGATTGATTGGCTCTGGCATCAAACCAAACGATACAGCCTGACTGGGCATTTGTACTCAGGCGTACTTTTACGACAAACATTGCACACCTTGGTCAGTAGTGTTCACATACAAACTGTCGGTAGACCTGACGATTTACACTCACGTCACTAGAACAAAAAAAGTTGGTACAGAAAATGTTCAAGGTAATCTGTATGTAGCCTCAATCAGACATTATCAACTAGCCATCCCTTGATACAACATGTACAGCGACAACTGTGAGGACTTTGGATACGAAGTGCATCGCAGGGAAGCTGCCAGGGAAATCACCGGTGACAAGCCAGAAAGCACTGACAGGGTGGGCACGGAATAAGATACGGTAACACGTACTCACAACACAATCCGTGAGTCCAGACTGAGAGCGCATCCAAACAAGCGTCACTGCGGGATGCGAAAAAATGCAGTACGAGTACGAGAAGAGCCACTACGCCCGGAATTTATTTTATAATGTTATTTAGTTCATTTCCGAGCTGAAGCCTGAAGGGAACGCAGTGAATATCCAGCTGACTCATTCTACTCACCATGCAGTCATCAGCACAAGAAGCGATCATGTTCTCGTTGAAGGGGTTCCATGCAACATCCATGACCGGGCCCTTGTGGCCAGTAACACGGGGAGCGTTAACATCCGTGCGACCAGTCTGTACAGAACGATGGATGCAAAAAAAAGACAACGGTGACACATCAATCGGGTACGTAAACAGAAGCAACAGTCATTACACAGGTATCCGAAACAGAGAAACATAAAGGCGACAGGGATTTGGAGTACCTCACAATCCCCTTCCAATCAGGGATGCACACTTTTTTGAAGGCATGAGAGCGCATATTCACACATACTTTCCGGTGTTCCCAAGCAACACAAAACACGGGGCAGTTGAAAACAACGGACCAGCAGAGAGATAAACACTAACTATGGAAAGGTAGGGGACAGAGTAAGTTACGGGAATCGGCAAGATCCTTCAGGAGACTACTTCACGTCCTTACCTGTTCCAAAGGGATGACGTTGAAAGCACCGCCACCACCAGCTTCGCACACGACAGCAAGAAACTTAGTGTTTACAACGCAGAACTGGCTGTCGTTGGCGTTCTTGGTAACTCGAAGTCCATCGAAGCACTGCTTGCTGGCGCTGCCAAAGACGTGGCGGAACTTGGAGGTTCGGACGACACTTTTCGACATCTAGGCATAAACAGAACAGCAAGAACGTACCTCAAATGCGGCCCAGATTGCAGAACCAGGTTGCACCACCAACTAACATTTGGACGATGGCCTTGATCTCAAGGAAGGAGAAGAAAAGATAACAACGTTTGGAAGAGAAACTGGAAAGTAACAGTTTGTGGTGCTCTACACCACAGAAAACATCAGTGACGGCGGAGGATGCGCGATGTCGAACAAAATCACGATTTCGTATCGTACATTTCCTTCGAGATACTCAGTACCCTGGACAGCGCGTCGGTTCTACGATAAAACATACAATTCTTTAGTTTGTGTTGTTGAATCGCATGAAGTGGTTAAAAAATGCGAATTGCAAGCCATTTCCATTGGGTTTGTCGTAGCAAAAAGACAACTCTCGTACGCGAAGTTTGGTTGAAGGACAAAATTTCTCAAAGTTCCATTGCCGGGGCAGTTGTACGGCGTGCGCGTGTGTACCCGCGCGTTAGTTGTACTGCCGACGTGTATGTATCCGATCACCCGCGCGCAGCAGTCGCTCAAAGTTTTGGCAGACCTTTCGGAGGCCCCGTGCCGCGGCGCAAGTACGAGTACCGTAGTCTACGGTCGTTCCGTGATTTTCGATCTTCGATGTACGAGCGCAGTGAACCTTCGGGCTTCATTCTGATGTATCTCTGCCTGTGCTACACTGATGGTTTTCTATGTATGTTCGGAAGCTATCGACGGTGTCGACCTGTTTCCTTCTGGCAGGCAGACTTCGTTTTCAGGCGCTTCAGACTGTTCAGTCGTAGATCTACCAGATCTACGCTGACTACATGTAGTAATAGTATGTTTTTGTAGATTGCCTACACACGCGTACACGCTGCAAACTTTGGTCCATGCTCTGTGCAATCTTTCACGAAACTTTACTTGCCCGAATTTTTGTGCAGGGCGGATACCATTTTTCTGTTACCGAGAAGCGCTCAATCTCTTGTGTTGGCTTCGAGTGTAGTGATGAGTTGAACAGGAAGTCAGGTGTTGTAAAAACGAGAACAAGGTGAATCCTCTGAAGCAGTGATCCTAGATCAGTTACCGGGCCATCATCAAGTCATGGAATTGCATTACTTGCCCCAGTTGCAGTTGCGGACTGGATCATGGAGCGTCAGTGATCCCTGTTTATCTGGTACAGTTTTCTCTCGCCCTGGAATGGATTTACATGTAAAACGAAAACTCGTTGTTTGAAGTGGTGCATGGACCAGCATGGTGCGGCACAGTGCCGGTTGTTTTTGCTATCATGAGTGAACACCGTGTGTAGTCAATCTGTTCTACTCCTGTCGCCACGTGCTGAGGCCTAAACTAAAGTGAGGGTGGAGGTATCCTATTTTTTCTCATCGTGTCAAGCAGCGGTATGCGGTGTGCACTGTCGACATGTCGGCGGCTCCATGTTTGGGAAGCTACAGTAGAAATAAATAATTATTATAATAAAACTGCTGTGTTAGTTTTGTCCCCCCGCGATCTGTCGTCGTTTTCTCACTCTCAAAATGACCATTTTTACCGAGATCTACATTGTATACGTATGAGCAATGGTGAACGTAGATCTATGTACCGTTGACAGACTTGTCACTTCCGGTATGTAATCTTCACGAGGCTGCAGTCGAGTACTACAACTGTTTGGTGCTCAGCAGAGCTAGCAGTCATCATTATCACTGCCAGTCGTGTAGCATATCCACAAACAAAATTGTCAAGTACAATGATCTACAATTTGTAAATGACTGTACGTACACCATGGTGCACCTACTCGATCGAGAGCAAGGACATCTCTGATCTCATGCCGTTCGCTCTCGGTCTCATTGTACCGCAGAGTTATTAAATTCCTCTACTCCCTGCTTGTAGCCATAGCCAGGTGGCCACTGAGGTAACTGGTGAGGGATGCAGAGCAGAAGAAAGAAAGTGATAAATCAGATCTAAACTCTGGTGACAGCTACCGTACTTGCGCGATTAGAGCCCTCTCTTGAATAGTGCCCTAGTCTCCAAGAGCCAGTGAAAAATAAAGCCCTCTCTTGAATAGTGCCCCCCCCCCCCCCGGCCTTGTAACCAAGCCCATATGCAAGTTTGGTGTTCTTTTGCTAATGTTCTTGGCCATTTTCTTTGCACTGGTGTTTTCAGGAACAAAATCGCAGGTCTTGTTCCCGTTTCTGTGGAGTCGCGAACGTTTACAGTACACTTTAGGCTCTGTTTTTTTATTTTTTATGCTGCATGATGCAAATGTACCAGCAATGAAAAATAGTGCCCTCTAGCTCTCTTGAATACTGCCCCATCTGTGATGGACATTGAAAAAATAGTGCCCTTGGGGCACCGCTGGCTGCAATTCTATTTGACAAGTAAAACCGTGAAATTAATTTTATAAAATTTAAACGTACCTCTGGGGGCTGAGCTAGGCACGGCACTGGTACGTGGTACAGCTTATTGCAGAGTCCTCAAAAAGTAAACGTCCTTTTCATCTACTGTAGTAGCATGTTATATCCAGGGCACCATTATTATTTTATACGGAAGTTTCGCTGTCATAATAGTACACAGTTCTCTAATGGTCCTCCTACTACATGTACATCTAGTACCACACTACTGTTGAGTAGTCTACTGTTGAGTACATGCCATTGTTGTAGATGTTTGAGGGTGTACATGTATATTTGATTCACTTCAGTTTCTGAATTGCTTGTTACTGGCCCAATTACTGCAATTGCTCCCAATTAATTCCAAACTGTCCTTCCACAGAACCATAGAGAAGCATGCACCGGTCTCACCCTGGCCTTCGCCTTGCTGCTCAGTGTAGACTGGAGAGTGACCCTGAGCAGAATGAGCCTTTGCTCAGAATCCCCCACCCACCCTCTTGCCAGGCACTTGGACTTCACTCTTCACTGCACTTCAGCCAGTTCAAGCGTAGTTGGGCGAAGGCAGATCAGCACACATCACAGACACCAATGACTAATCTCCCTGCCATATTTAGTGGGTTCATGGGGTCAGCCAACTCAGTCATGTTCACAGCTAGCCGGGTTTGTTATCTGATATGCCAGGTGGGATTGCCATGGACACGAACAGACATACATACACACATGCACACACACACAGAGTTATGTTACATCTAGCGAATAATCGGCCATCTCCTCTCTGCATCACATAATAACATGATTGTACACACATACATGTAGCTGCATGAATTGTATACTGCTGCAGCTGGCATGCACCATTCTACTGGCTCATTGCATGACCGGTCATTCTCACAGCATATCACGCACACCTACATTGTAGATCTACAATTACAATACAGTCTTGTCGTCTACTGCATGTGGTGATGACAGATGTGAGTGAAGGAAAATCACGTCGTGTCCGCATATGTTTCACAACCATCCATCAAAAGACAATTCTGGCTGTTTGCACTGGTGTGGACGCTACTTCAGTGTCAGCATGCCAACACAGACAGAAAGAAACAGGTACACACACACACACACATGTAATGATTGTGTACATGATTCCAAGCAAAACAGGCTTATGTAATAGTTACGTAATATACGCATGCACGTTGCTATGGGCTACACATTTATCATTTCCTATACAATATCTACAAGAGTACATAAAAAATGGTTTATGTACTCTTGATATAATTATAACATAGCGTTCTCAGCAGACGTGGTAATTAACAGGACAGTTTCTAAGTAAAAAACCATAATTATTATCACAGAGAATGCACTCTCATTTACTGGGCGTGTACTGCGACATGCATTTTATTGAAGAATAACAAGCCGGTATACCGCATGCACCAGCCGAGTCTGCACACTTCCAGCACAGAACCGACGGCCGGAGCAGGCAGTATGCATGCACTGAACACATAGCATGGCACGCCTACAGAATGTATTTCCTGGCATGCGCTGCTGTGGTTCTGAAATGAATTGATGAACACCCAAAGACAGCCGTCCACGAAATAAGCATGCAGTGGCCAATTCATGTCAATAGTTTGGAATCGGGCATGTACATGTGCTCTGGGAAGTACGTGTGTTCAGAGCAATTTTTGAAGATTTCATGTGTGTGCGTGCATGAAATGCAGGGTGCACTTACAAAGCAGGGAGTCGCATCAATATTGCAATTAACTAAGCAATGTTTTAATGACCACGAGCACTTCACATCTTGGGAGATACCCGTTACGGAGCACCTTAGCACGCTGGAACTGAGCAACAATGCAACAAAGAGCATCTGCTCCGCAGCTCGGTGCTAGTGTGCTGGACCCATGGGTCTTGCAAGCAGTATCGTGCGAGTAAAGCTTTCCGGCAGGGGCTGTTTTGTGACACAGCAAACGAGGAGATCAACGTGTGAGCTGCACCTGTGTTACGCTGTAACGTGACAGCTTCGTCAGCGATCCACTACCAGCAAACAGGAGGTGAAAGAAAATGCTGGACAACACCTTCACAATCACTAGGTGTTGGCAGTTACACATACGACTCAAAACAGATGGAGATCAGCATGATTTTCTCTTGTTAAATGGGGCGAACATACTCGCGTACAGAATTTCACATTGCATCTGTTGGTCGGATAAAAAGGTGAGTCGAATGATAAAAACTAAAATAGAATATTCACATCAGCATTCACTATTAGCAGCTCTATGTGAATGGCTCAATGGAATGTACATCAAACATCATAGGGCGCATGAGCTTGTCACGTGCCAGTTGCTGTTGCATGGGCTGCATGCTCTTTGGTGTGTCGACCAGTTTTCCACGCAGGATGTACGATGCGTCGTCTCGGTCGTCCTCCTGCATGCTAGTGTACACGTCGCGCATCGACAGGCGCCGTGATACTTTCGCCAGCAGGAAAATGAGGTGCCAGCGCCCTCTCACTGAGCGGCCAGACTTTGCCATGAGAAGACGGTACGGCAGCGGCGAGTCCTGCGATGATGTAATGTTGACGTTGATGATGTCACGTGGATGCATGACCAGCGAGAGCTGTGGCGACATCACTGACAGGCGGTACACGGCCATCGGGTATCGCCGCACGCAAGGCATCACGGCGTCCTGCATGATCTCCGCTGCCTTCCGCTGAATGCTGTAGTTGGTGCTGAAGTGGGTGTAATTGATCATCACGGGCGAGCATCGGGCAACGCTGAACGTGGGAACGACTACGGAGCACACCATGACGGTCACAAACAGAGCTGTCACAACGCGCCCCGGCAGCAGTTTGTACAACAGCACAGGCACGGTAACGCACAGGACGACAATAGCAGCATGGCGCGGGTTCCACAGCCAGTCAGCGGCGGCGAAGGCTGAGCTGTACAGGCCACCGCTCATGGCGACCATTTCAATGAAGCCAGGCGCCAGCATCAGCAGCATAAGCAAGACGTACTTGAGGCTGATCTTACTGCCCGTGCCGGCTGCTTCATCCGAGTCGCCATCTTTCTTGCCTGGATATACATGCAGAAGAATAGAGTGAACAATGAGCACGACAAGAACAACATTGCATCTCTTTCAAACACAACAGTAACCAGGAAGCTGTCAACGAATGGACGAAGAAGTGCGAGTTCATAACATTGACAGCAGTTTTTCGGGTTCGGAGCGCCATTTGCCAATTGGAAATGGGCAGCTTTGGCCATCTGCTTGTTAGAAGCTTGACACATGATACTGGGAGAGCCTGGCTCACTCTGTGACGTGCTTCAATGCATGAAGGCATCCACTTCTAAATGCAGTTTTTTCTTCTCAATAGAAGTAGAACTTCATATAGCGGGTTCTGTGACAGGGGCGCCCTCCCCCAAAATGTGTTACAGTCTGTATTAGAGAAGTTTCACACGGCGTTCTTTTGGCGTGACGTGACATTTAAATGTTGGTGTCGGAAACGACGTTGAACGTCGAATTCGAACGTGAGTCGTACTCCGCTCGGTTTCGAACCCACCGTGTGTTTGTACGAACTTTCGCAGGATATTTTTTACTCACTGGTTCGAGGGAAAGACGTAAACGGGAAAAGTGTGAAGAAAAAATGACTGTCACCACCAGGACTCGAACCAGGGACCCTTGTACCCAATATTTCTTACATCAACTTTTTCCGAACTGACAGCGATACGGTAGGTTGCAACTATTCCGGACAGATTTTTCAATTTCCTGCCAGTAGTGAACGATGCGCACGTCTTTCGCTGCATGCGGCGCGAAACCTGTCGTACGCGAACGGGAGTTTTTGGCGTTGACGTGGAAGTTGAAAACGTCGCGCGAAACCTCCCTACTATGGTAAAACATACATGGTGCGTTTGAGTCACACCCTGTGCCTTTCGTTTGTTTCGGACAGGCGTCCTGCCCGAAGCAATAGAACACTACGGCGTGCACACGCCGTCGTTTCTAATCCAACTTGAGAATTGTTTTGCTCATCTACGCAAGTAGAACATGTACATGCTGTTCAAGAGGTATTCTGCAAGCAATGGATGAACTCAATGAAGGCCAGTATCTACGAAAGCATGAGCAATGAAACAGTGTTATCGTATATATACTTCACGAGGACCTTGATGCAGTGTGCGCATTACGTTCTTTTTTTTGCCACGCAGTAATTAAAATTATATGTGTCATGGTGGAGAAGCAGTCGCGTTACATAACCTCTTCCGCCATGTGTTCCACTTTTAGTCCAGCGGCCTTAAAACGAATAAAATCCGTTTCAGTCTCAAGCAGACAACCTGGATACTACACTACGGCTTAAAGCATGTATACCTGACCTGGATTCCGCTTGTTGTCATCTTCAGAGTTGGGGCTTAAGCTCAGGAGAAGCCAATTTCTCCGCTCTCGTCGGCGACTAAAAATCAAGGAATCTGAATACTGCGCGCCATCTGCGGGTGCTCATTATACGAAAAAGTTTTTCAAACTTTTGAAAAAATAGAAGATGACGACGACACTGATACGATACTCTTTGAAATAGAATTGCATTTTTCATTTAGTAGTTGCTCAGTAGTTTTGTGTTTTGTGCTGTTTGAGTGCCTCCTAACCACTGCTGACAGCATGGTACTTGGTAGACACCCTTTGACATGATGGAGGAAGAGGCCGTGGAGCTTCCTAGGTAGGCCTCGTCTTGGGAATGGCATTGTATTGTGGGAATTTTGCTTGTGCCATTGCGTAGCATCGCAGAAAAAGCAAACCCAATTTACTTGGCAGAGCTGGGTGAAGCTGCTAAAAGCAGGCAGGACGAGCTATGGACCTTCTTGCTCGAGAGCCACTGCACCGAGGAGAACGTCCGCGGATGGTACCACCGCAAGTGCTACAGTATGTACACAAACAAGATGTTGCTGTATCGCTGCCACTTGGACGTGACCATGCCTTTTCAAGCGATTCTGAATTGGAGGAGATACATGTATGTGAGGATGGGCCACCAGCAAAGCGTAGAAGAAGGAGAGATGTACAGTCCACATCTGCAGACGTATGCCTCATATGTAATAAAAAGACTAAACCAATTAAAGGAATGAAACAACCTCTAACTCAGTGCTAATCTCTGCCAGCTGGCGACAGCATACTAGAGGCAGCAGAGCTGAAGAACACACGAATTATGCTTTCGCTCCAGAGTGGCCCAGATTGTGTTGCAGCGGAAATCCACAATCACCGAGCATGCTACAGTGCCTTCACCCACCCGGCCACTATGCACCGGCAACGAAGTGGCAAAGGGAGTGACCAGCCGTCGGCCTACGAAATAGCATTCAACAGCCTGGTGCTGTATGTACAGTCCGAGTTGAAGTCTGCAAGGGCCTTGTCCATGAAGCTCCTCACGGATAAGTACAATTGCAATCTGCATCAGCTTGGCCGACCACAACACTCCGCCCATCCGACTTTCATGCTGAAAAGGAAGATAATGAGCTACTTTGGGGACCACGTGAGTTCTTGGCATTGTTGAATGTGTAGACATAATGCTAATTCTTTGCTTCGCTTGTGCTAGCTCTCTTCCGCTGGTGTTGTTGAGATAGTGTCCCAGTAAATGAAATCCTCTCATACGAAGATCCGTATTTAGGGGTGATTTCCTCAAAATTTATCAATCTCTGCCATCTCCAATCACCATCAATAGGAAATGAAAAAAAAAAAACTCGGCAAAGGGCAACCATGATCAGCAAATCATCCAAACAGAAGAACAAAATCATGCCGACTCCAGTCCATTTAGCCCTTTGTGGACGGACTGTATGAGTTTCGATCTAATAAGACCGAAAGTCTGCAGGCGGTAAAATCTTCGTAACTCCATCATTTCTTGAGCAAATTCCACAATCAAAGGTGTGGTGTTTGTAACCACAGACATTGTGAATCACCTGAGGGCCAGACTATTGTCGGTAATGCTAGACCTTATAGAAGTGTCCAATGACCGCACTTGGCATTCATCCATTCATGCATGCTAGCTATCTCTGTGTTTGGACTACCTCCATTATCTTCCTTTTATATTGCTCTACTCTGTAATATTCAACCAGTTGCGTACTGGACAAGTGAACTACGGTTATGCTTTGTTTTGGGTGTTGTGAGTCACGGACTAAAACACTACAGAAGGGTCTACGTGGTAGTGGAAACTCCAAGCTGTCCAATGCAACAATCACCGAAGAGTTACGATGTCGGACGCCAGAGATATCGCACGCCGTATTCTTACCTCGGCAAATTCAAATGTTTGATCGATCATTTCGCCATTTTTGGGGAAAATCCCTTTTCGTGTGCTCTTTGAGCGACTAAGCACATGATAATGACGTAGCCGACTGAAGTTTGAATCGTCTCAAACAGATTTGAGCGTTCTGCGTTGAAGGAGAGTGGAATGGCGTTGATGGGACGAATTTGCTTGCATATCAGGCTTGGAGACGACTTTGCTGTGTTACCGCGCCTGATTTGTGGCAGCTGGATAATGGAGATTGGTACCCTGGCGTTGCTCTTACCAAGAGCTTTCCAATGAGCCCTTGATTGTGAAAATCTTAATGAAGTGATACCCCCGACACAAACGGCACAAACAAGTGTGACGCCAAAGTTATGACATGGAAAGTTGAAAATTGTACTGACATTTCGTAATTCTGGTGCATACTGTGCTAGTAATCCGTCCATAAAGGGTTAAAAACTATAGACGCGCAGTGTTTTTGAAATATTTCAAATTTGGCTGGAACTTTTTGAGAATAGTTTTCGGAATATTGCTCAGGTCCGCTCCACAATTACTCTCATATAGTTTCTAAACGATTGGATAACAGACGCCCAATTTGGAAAATTTATGCACAAAGTGATCACAGATTTTATGTGGTATAGATGCTGGCATAACGGTTTTTGCCTAGGTACGCGTCTATAGTTTTGAAATGGACTGTAATTATCGATAATAGTGAGTTTCTGCTACACGAAACTACGTACCAAACTCCGTGTCCACTGCAGTGAAGTTTAACACGAAATTTCCGTACGTTGCGCCGGTTCTGCTGTGCGTAGCTTGCTCGAACTTCCCGCCACATGTACTCTGTGCGCTCAGTTTTGCACACAGAGACCAGTCCGTGTGAAGCGCGCTTCACACGGAACACGGCATGAAAAAATCCGCGTGAAACTTGATCTCGAACCGCGACGAGGTTTCCATACGTACTTTGGCACGTTTTGCCGTGTAGCAGAACCCCACTAATATCGTATCACATTTTGACAATTTCAACTCAAGGAGTCGTAAAATAACGACTAGCCAACTAAACCTATTTTATGGTTCTCCCCATCCAATGCCCTAGCTCTGGACATGACAACAAGCCGTTTCGACCTCACCAGGACATGGTCTTTCCACTCATGCAAAGCTCAGGTGGAGACTGAAACGCGACTTGCAAAACAAACTCTTTTAGATTAGGTCTGCTGAACTATGTTGTTTGTTTTGCATCTCATGGAAAACATAAAATTAATGGTCCTCTGACCACTAGACTACTGAATACTCTTTAAGGTACTTTGCTGTCATCTGCAGACGTGGCTACGATGCATCTATCTTACATTCGACGGGGCGTGACGGGACACTCATGATGCCGATTGACGGCGTCTAATGTGAACACCAGGATTGGACTATGGCACAGAAGGGGAAGCGACGGAAGAGTCGAATCTGTTCAACTCTTCAAACCGTATGCAGGGACGCAAGCGTACAAAACGGCTGCATTTCGAGTGTGAACAGGAGACAGAGTTGTGTGCCGACTCTTCCCGTTGCGCGCAAAAGCAACTTACAATATTTTAGCATTTTGAATACTACGCTTCACATAACTCACCGAACTGATAACACAACTGAGTTGAATTTTAGTAAGGTAAAATTTCATGTCAATTGCTGTATTTAGGGATAGTCCAGGAGTGTGACAGACAAACTGACAAACTGTTTTATTTTTTACTGGGGCTATTAGGCCACACGTTTTTATTTCTATGTTTCTCGTCACCCGCACGCATACGATTCAGGAGTCTGGAAGAAAAAAGAAAAGAAAAACTGTACTGCACTGACTGTGCATGTGGGGACCAGCACACTCATGCACATGATTGTACATAATGTGGCCTGGCCTGCGCGACACATGATGCGAGGTCGGCATTTTTGTGCGCAATCTAGCTGCACATGCACAGATTGTGATAGAAGCTCCTACCACATACTCGTAGTTGCTAACTATGGATGGTGTATTGGTGGATTTTAGTGTGAACAAAGGTCTAGTAAACTTTTTTTATTTTTTTCCATCTCTCGCATACGTTTTTAGATTTTCAGGTGACGAGAAACATAGAAATAAAAACGTGTGGTTTTATTAGAATGGCACAATTTGTGTGGCTACTTTTTTGGACAAACTGGCATTGGGAGAGTGATTCCGCTTCATTCGAGAAGAAAGTATTACAAAGAAGTCCCGGAAAAAACGAACTTAAGCCCGAAAGTTAGGGCCGAAACGATTATACCGATTACTCGTATATCACTCGTTATGGATGAAATCGATAATCATTATGATCGATAACGATTATGACTGTACAGTGCGAGAGCGGTCATGATGTCAGTGCATGCAGACCATGCATGGCATCATGCACGCGCGTCATGCGCACAAGTACATGAACGTCGAAGTAGACGTGCATGAAGCCGTAGGTCCGTACAATCATTGCGCGCTTGATCCTTTTTGGGTAGTCGTACATAGTCACTACATTCACTGCACTAGTCAGCGTAGCCGGAAAATGTAACAACCGGAAAGCTTCATTACTGTTAGGTTGTAGCGAAACTGTGAGTGTGGCTGCCGTCCTTCTAATTTGTTCAGTTCTTGTCAAAAACTTAGTTAGTTTTGATTTTTTGGCGAGGAGAGCAGTGACAATGCTGCCGGCTGGAAAAGCGAAAGTTGGTCTGACCGAGAGATCGCCAGCGTGGGCATATTTCGAGGAAGCTGATAGTGTAGCGAGATGCAATTCGTGCAGCCGCGAGTTCGTCCGTCAAAGCGGCACAACCAACTTGTTCCAGGACCTGATTTCTGCTCATAAAGACCAGTACGCTGCTGCGGTAGGGAAAGGATCAGCAACCTAGTCGACAGCAATGGCGACTACCAGCAATGTTGAGCGCAGTGACAATGCGACGAACAGTGCTGGAATGAAGCCCGTCATGTCGTTCTTCGGCACAGATAACTTGCGAACGTGCGACAGCAGGCGCTCAGGCATGTTGACGGAGTCGATCATCGACTGGATTGTCGATTCCAGTCGACCCTTCTGGGCCTTCTCCATTGTAGAAGACAGACGACTGATCGTTGATGTTTAATGGCAGAGGAACACTGCTCATATCACGTTGCAAATTTCATTTTGGTCTTTTTGGGGCCTGTGTGGATCTTTCACCCATACGTACCTGTATACAGTTGAACAAATTTAATTGTTTTTGCTGTATACTGGTGTCCAACATGACACGTATAAAACTTGTTCGGAAAATCGGTAAAACCAATAAATCGATCGTTAGTGTTATTGGTTAATCGTTAAGGCAAAATGGGCAATCGTTTCGGCCCTACCGAAAGTCAACCCGTCACGGACCGGGTTTATGACTCGTGCCAATCGACGTTGAACATAGCAACAACTGCTACATGTCGTGTTGTACAGATCGCACACGATTTTTACAGCTCGTCCCATGGCCCAGCCGTCCCGACAGGCTCTTACGCCCCGTACCATCAGCGTTACGTCGAGTGTAAACAAGGATTTAGATGCAGGGAAGGCTGAGGCTGTGTTTACATGAGAATTTTCAACACGGGTCGAGTTCAGCCTGGGTTGAAAGTCTGTACGATAGACAAAATAGGTGAGCGTTTACATGAAGACAGTTGACCCGGGTCAAATACTGATATGCCGCCAAATGTCCACTTCTAGAGTCCTGTATGGTCACGTGAATACTTTCGCGCGAAATTTGCCTGTGCACTGCTATTCGAACCTGGCGCGAGATACGCATAGAAGTACGTGAGTACGATTTTCTCGCCCGTGTTGATTTAAACCCTCCCCTCTGGGGGAGGGTTGAGATCAACCGAAATTTCAACCCGGGTCAAGCGCAATGCGTCATGTAAACGCGCCATTCATTTTGTGTACATGGCGGGTTGAAATCTGACCCGGGTTGAAACCAGGGAGTAGTAAAAGACACTGTATTTTACTACTCCCTGGTTGAAACGCCTCATGTAAACACAGCCTGAATGGCCCATTTGGCTAATTTCCGTACGGTACCTATGATGTACGGTATGGTGCACTGAATGAACGGCATGATACCCCATCGATCCCCCATGTACAATGTGTACACACAAACAAAATGTAGAATTCGCCTACTCGCCTACTGTACCTTTTTTTGATCTCCGCGTCACAGGTATATCGTCCCCGTCACTATCCTGAGCCCAGCGGGTATTTCGCGATGGCTTGAGCCGTTGACGAAACTCAGAGAACTCCTTGGCAGCTGCGCTGGTATTTGCATCGTTCGACACAAACACTTTCTTGGGTCTTTTGCTGTCACGGGGGTGTGCATGCTTTGGCTTTTTCGCATCAGCATCGGCTTCATCCTTCGCCATTGTCCCGTGTCCACAGGATGCCACCCACTAATTTCTAAGTACTAGCACTGAATAACCGAAGCGAACTGACTATCATTTTTGTCCGAAGTCAAGCTCCAAGAAGGTAATTATTTTTTGAAACTCGTTGGCACGTTTGCGTTTTCTGACGAACTGACGTGCATTAGGTGACGTCACCACTCGCGCAGCAGGGAGTCGTAAAATACCGGTATTTTGCGACTCACTCGGCTCGTACTCGAGCTCGCACTATTTTTAGGGGCCTGGTTTTTTTTGTTTTTTTGTTTTTACGAAAACACACCATTTGACGGCACAAAGCAGCAAGGCGCTAGGCTGGGCTAGCTCCGGCTAGCGCTAGGGAGCGATGAGACATAAAAATAATTATTATTATTCCACAATCACGATGACATAGTGCCAATAAGCATGTGATGCGGACGATTTTAACCAGGGAGTAGTAAAATACAGGGAGGTGACACGCCACTAATCGTGATTTTTGATGGTTGCCTCGCGATTGTTTTTTATTTTTTAGCAAAAAAACCATTCGTAGAATCCATCTCGAGTATTTGTAAAAGGCCTAATTCCATAAAGAAACCCACACATCTAGAAGAACAGTATTCTTTTGGACGTTCGCATGTACGCACGTCCATGGTCATTGTGGGGAGAACCAACATCACAGAAAAAATTGCCCCTATCGACGATATGGACAAGGAGAACGGCGGTCACTTCCTTGAGTAAGTAATGTGTGTTAGCTTCGATGAGCAAGAGTATAAATTTGGGAGCCGAAAATATCACTAGGACACCACATGATCTACTCTTTTCTTGCCTCAGTTGTGATCAGGTAGTACTTTTCTACCTACCCAACAACGATGAGCATTTCATATTATGGTATGCTGGTAATTTGGACTGAAATGTGATCCTGATTTGGCATTGTTTTGACCTAATGTTGTTCTACAGTACTGGCACTCTTGTTGACAGAGGCTTGCCATATAAGAGGAAAAGAATTGACCAGGATGGTGACCTTCCTCCACAGCGTGTACTGTCGGACATCAGCGCACTCACCAGTAAGCAACGCTTATTTCTTTATGTTTCTGACTCAGCTGATTACACATGCGGAAACACGGCCGAAGTCCCCCCCCCCCCCCGCCCCCCCCCCCCTCCCACCACACGCACACACTCGCACATGCGCACACACGGTGGCACAGCACACGAGGAACACAACAAGGGGCGGAGAATGATCATTCCTGAGCTCTTCCGGACTCAAATGACTGTCCAAACCTCGCCCACCCACGCGTGCACACGCGCGCGCACATACAAACACACACAGTCACCCCCCCCTCCTACATGCATACACACATGCACACTCCCCCCCCCCCCAAACACACACACACACACACATAGAACATGAGGAACACATTCTTCAGGTTAGTTGAGTTGATTCACCAATCCTCGCCGCATTACCTAGGCGAATGACAACAACAACACACGCACACACATGCACACACACACACACACACACACACACACACACTTGCACACACATCATGTACCACACACACATACACACATGCACACACATGCACACACATGCACACACAGTGACACAGTGACACACACACACGGCAAATGTCACTGAATACGTTCATATAAGACCATGTTTCAATTACTTGTATTTTGTATGATTGTTTGGTTCTGCCCCTTTCTTCATTTTTCTGCCACTTGGTTTAGATTCATCTGCAACATCCATGGATATGACGACCAATCCTGGTCACACCCAGCCAGTTGCTGGACAGGGCAGCAACACCGACACATCCAAGCCTATTCTTTGGAGTGGCTCTGAAGCACCGAGTGTGCGTGAAATTACTGTTTACTCCATCCTCATGGAGAAGTTCGGGAATGATAAGCCCTTCCGTGTGCGAAATCCGCAACAGCCACAATTGCAAGAGGCGGTACGAGCCATCAATCTTGTCCTACCTAACGAAGACCGTGTGTCAAGCGAAAGGCTCAGCAAATACTTTCAGCGTGCAACAGCAAGAACACCTGGTGCAGGGTTTGGCAAATACCGTGGTAAGCTGCGCTGGGTGCGATTCAGCTCAGTTTTCAGTACAGTACGTGTCACTCATTCAGCTTGCCTACAGAAAGCACTGCAAGGGTCAATTGCAGACGAGGAGCGGAAATCCTTGCTCATTTGTATTGGTGAATGCGTAGGAGAATGGGACCCTGCATCATCTCCTCCATCACTAAAACAAGCTAATGTTCCCCTCGACTTTGATGGCATTAAAAGGGCAGTGCCGACCAACTTCCGGTGGAGAGTAACACTGGAGAACGGATGCTGTATTATCTGGCACTACAGAACAACAGGTGGTGCTACGGAGCGATCAATAAAGGTTCAACCCAACATGGCATACACAACACACTTTTATGACCACAGCCTTCCACTTCTCAACTCTAATCTTCCTGTCACGCTCACAACAACCGAGCAGCTTACAACTTTGCTAACAGCAGTGCAACACGCAACCATATGTAAAGGGTTGAATTATGAAAAATATGAGCCACTTTTCAAAGCCAGACTTGATGGAAGCACTTTCAGGTCAAAGGATGGGACGGTCAATGCGTATGCTGAAGAGTCATACACAACACAGAGGTGCATTCGAACATCGGGCTGTGCAATTCTAGTTAGTGCCACAGGGATATGCAGCACATGTCGACAGTTTGACGGCAGCCTTCGGAAAGACTTGTCAAGACTTAAGAATCGCACACCTGAATCACGAGCAAGCACTGCGATTACTCACTTAACGAGGGAAGAACTGGTTGACCGCGTGAGGACCAAGCCCGCTCCAAAGTCTGTGCAACGACAGGCCAAACAATTGGAAGAACTCAATAAAAAAAGGGTGACCACAAAGCACAACGGAGAGTATGCCACATTGTTTACGAAACTAGAGCATGGGCTAGACAAGATACAGGCTCAAGCTAACAATCCTCAGTGCAACTGGAAGAACTGCTCGGAATCATTTAGCACAATCGAGGAGTTGCAGAACCACATTTATTTCAATCATACGAAAATAATGGAAACTTCCTGTCAGCTTTTCCCAGCGTACGAGTGTCTGTGGTCAGGCTGCAGCACTAAACCGTATAAAAGCAAAGCGGCTTTTCATGCGCATGTGCGGAAGCACACGGGAGATTCAGGAGACATCTTGTTTAAATATCTACTTGAGGACCAAGCCAGGGCACTCACAGTGCCTGATCATCAGATGCGTTGGCATCCCTGCGTTCTACGATGGTGCCTACATCAGCATGCCCGCTCAGCCGCTGCATACGAAGATATGCGCAGTAGCAGACTCCTTCGACTTCCGTCTGGCCGAACTCTCCTCAGGTACCGTAATTTCAATCACCCGCAGTCGGGATGGAACGATGGCACCTTGGATGAAATGCGGTCTGTTTATGATAAATTTACTGACGCAGGAAAGGGGCAAGTAGACCGGGCCAACACAGGCGGGATCTACTTCGATGAAGTTAAAATAAAAGAAGGCCTAATATGGGACCCGCGAAGCGATGAACTGATTGGGTTCGTCGACTTTGCGGGTGAGCCAAGTGATGTATTGCAAAATTCAATAGCGACCCATGCATTCCAATTTCACTTCCGTTCACTGTTTTCTTAGAATTTTTTGTCAGCGCTAATCCGTGGGGACAGACTTATACTTATCACTCTTCTGTATCGCCGTCCACTAATTCTTGTGATCCTTGACTGGTCCTATAATGCCCATATCGCAGTAATATCGACTGTTTATATCGACTGTTTATATTGACTCTTCAAGAGAACACTGCTAGTTATGTTGTACATTGTCGTTGTATGCAATCTGATATAGCACAGTATTCCATAGCGTGGTTGGCTGAGTGGTTATCTTCAGTTTTTGAGTGGCTATCTTCAGTTTTTCTTTTTTGCCTGTTAAGCCGTGCAGCGGAATTATTTTACTGTGTTGTTTATTCCAATCGTTTCCTTTCATCTGTGTGTGCCTTCTGATGTGCTGTGTGCTGTCAACCTCGGATAAGAATGGCTGCGCTCTCATTATTCCATCAGAAGCATTCTGGTATTTACTGCTCGAGTCGGGTTTACGTTGTTTCCCTGTGTTTGCGTGAAAAGGTCGAAGAAGAACAACACCTATCGAAAGGTGTGTGTTGTATGAGTGTCTACAGTGACATTATTAGCACGTCGGTGCCGCACTCACACGGGCACAGACGGACACACACACACACACACACACACACACCTGCAGACACAAATGTACGTAGATGTGGTGAATGGCAATCTTACCTATCTGTTCAGCAAAGAGGGATTTGACTCGCTCTTGAAGAGCGCCTTTGTTGCCTGCACGAGACAGGGGGCTGAGACTAAGTATACTCTGCAGTTCCTTCACACTCAGATCACCAATGACCTTTGCTTTATCGAGCTCTGGCACGCTGTTAATAGCTGATCGAACCGCATTAAGGTCTTTTCTGCCAATCGCTGCCCGCACGGCTACAACATTCCGGCTGACTGCTTCTTTCTGGCGCGAGGATGACGTTGGTGGGCGTAAACCAGCACGCAGAGCAATTGACGTAGTTGATGGTGCGAGGTGATTTTCACGGATTATTTGTTTTTGCTTGCTCTTCACAAACATCGTCACGATGCGCTGTAGGAGATCTTTGCCGCTGTCATCTCCAACAATAGCAGAATACTGTTGAAGAACAGTGGCATCGGCCAGAAGTAGCTGCTTGACTTCTTGTGGAGCTGACTTTCCAGCAGTAAGAAGCGCAGTTTGGAGGTGTTCCTCGCACAGCTTGTGCAGGCGAATAAACAGAGGCAAGCAATGCTCGCTCAGGGAAAACAGATGCCTGCTGAACGCTGCGGTGCTCGCTAGGTCCTCATCACTACTAGCACTGGACGAGTCTGATGTCGAATCACCACCATAGACATGTTTGGATGCAAGGATATCACATCCAAAATTTGGGATAAGACTCAGAAGAGCATGCTTTGGCTCTTTCTCCCGTAGAAGCTGTTTCCGAACAGCAACAATACACCAGCCGGAATGATATCGTACCGATGCGTTGGCTGCACGATCCATTACGTCGGAAGCTAGTCGGGCTGACCTCGTATCTGCCAGACGTGGTGTTGTTGCTACACTTGTGCTACCATCAATCACACTGTCAACGAGTTGAGCAAGCAGTGATGATTGCACTTGTCTCTCTATGGCACAACACAAAAAAAGAATGAAGCACAGTGAAAAGTATAGGCAGTTAGCGTAACAGAGTAGTGCAGTCCAGGCGTGCATCATAGTGGAGTGGGTGAAGGGAATATAAAGTTAAGCAATTTTGCTCATTCAACCCAGCAGTTTCGCTTAGCTTTCTTCGAGTTATCATTTATCCTGAAGTTCCCCTCTGACAAGAAGTCAGTCAAGGCTTTCCCCACACAAAGCAAAGTAACTTACTTCTGTCCTGATCCAGTTCCACAAAATGAGGCGACACAGTCTGGAGGAAGTGTGCCCATGCAATGCCTAGGGAAGGAGGCACACCTCTCCGCAAACGGGACAGCTCTACACGCTGTGCGTGAGTAGACTGTTGTTGTTGTACACGATGCCGTCCTTCCTCGAGCAGAATGCGGACGGGCGCAGTGCTCCTGCCAGCGTCGACAGCAATATCTGCTGCCACGGATGCATCAGCCTTCTGGTGCAGCAGCAAACTCTTGTTTTTACTTGTAGCTGAACACAGTAGATAGATACATACACACTGCGATTACCTTCAGTGAATGAATGCTACTTTCCTCTCTTCTGTGAGAAAATAATAATTATTCCCATAGCTATGCAGAAGACGTTGCTTCAGTAAAAATAATAATTATTCCCATAGCTATGCAGAAGACGTTGCTTCAGTAACGTCTGGCGCTAGCCAGGGTCCACACAGCTTTAATTTGGTGTTTGTGTGTTTGTGTCACGCCTGGCGCTATCCCGTATCTGTCCCGTACCGTACCGTACCATCAAACACAGCTGGCCAAATACAGCTGGCCGCACTATTCAAATAGGGCTTTCAAACGCAAGATCATAACGTGAAGCAACTTGGAAGAATGAGTATCAATGCGAAGTGTATGGGGGAATGCATGTAGGGCGATAGTGCGGGTTCGAATCCCAGGTAATGCGTGAAAAAATAGAAGAATTGAAAAAATTATAACATCCCTATTCTTTTTTTGCAGTCATCAAGACTCGAAACGGGGACCCTCGCTTGTAGCCAGCGATGCTCTAACCACTGAGCTATGTTGTAGCCGTCATCCCAACAGAGACCGTTCAACATTCTCTTCAGACTTCGTAACTCACACTTCCTGTGAATCCACACAGGCGGGTGGGACGCATGCGCAGCCCTCACTGTAAACCAGGGAGTAGTAACTAGTCCCTGCTGTAAACCAAACTATAAACCACAATACATGTATTGACACAAGAGAGAGAGATTGGAAGCAGTGTCGCAAATAATATTAGCAACACCTCTCGCGTACAAGTAGTAGAAAGTAATTCAGCGTTCTTTCCCCTTCCGTCTTGTGGACACCTTCAGCACGATGTACTAGCTGCTTATACCGATTTCTCCTCGTGTGTCGAGGACACACAGTTTCACAGTTTCTTCCAGTTTGTCTTGACCGCTGCTTGTCGGCATCTGGAAAGTTCTTCCAGGGTCTTCATGGACACACTGAGCTTATTCAGCGGAGCAACCAGACGTCACCTGTGGCCATTGTCAACTTTGGCCGCCCACGAGGCGCTTTGTTGCCCTTGTCAAAATAGCCGCTCATGGCTTCTTGCGGTGGCGTGTCCGTGTCCATCCGTAGCACATGAGAAAATAATTAAAAAAACAATAAGGAAGTTGTCGATGCCATAGAGATATTTCTTACCTTCCGCCCACGTCAGGATATCTTCACAACGGATCGACTGCAACCCAAGCGGAGGAGTTGTATCCTCCTGCTCTGCAGGACTTTCCTCCATATCACAGTCAGAGCACTCGTCTGGAGGCTCAATATCCATCGCTATCGAAGAAGCCATACTAGTATAACTACAACAAGTACAAGCGTGAAACGCGAGAGGAGAAAGATGACAGTAAACTCTCCAACTTGCAAGGGAGACAACATAAAAATAGCAGTGACAACCAGTAACAACCAGGTCAGAAAAGTAATCAAAGAACTACTTACTGAAAAATCTACATGATCCGGAAAGATCGAAAGTCCAAAGTCCAACCATGCTAGCTCACGATCACAGGCTTTTTGGAGCAGCTGGATCGCGCGACTCGCACTCGTCCAGTGTCCTAAAAAGTATAATAATCAGGCAGTCAGTAGTAAAAATACTACAACCAACTCCCTCGTATCAACAAGTACTCGAGCGCATACTTTTGGAGGTCGATCCGCGCGCCGAACCGCGGATACATGATTCTGTAACCATGGGCACCAGCTGCCGTTGCGTCATCTTACCCCAATCTCGCCCGCCGGGTGAAAACGGGTGTGAGGCAATCGTCGAACTGGCCGCGGATGCTCGTGTCACCTCCCTGTATTTTACTACTCCCTGATTTTAACCAGCCATGGTGGGGACAACTGAAAAAGAAGGAGAAGAAAAAGAGAAAAGAAAAGAAAACAAAAGGAGTACGAGTACAAAAGGAGTAAAAATAGGGCTGTTTCGTACTAAAGGAACCTGGAGAGAGCAGTATGAAGATTAGGCTAGCAATGGAAAACAACGAATTCAATTCAACTTAGGCGCGGGCAGAATGGAACAAAATTCAGCGAAGGTGTCACGAGACTTTACCTCCTGCGGAAGCCGAGACCAATGAGAATAGGACTTGAATAGAGGGGATTTTAAAAGGATCGATGATCTGGCCAGTGGGAAATGGAGAGAACATCTAGTACGCGAGCTATTATTGAACCAGCTTAAATGCGCAAGTGCATGAAGAGGAGCAAGTTGAAGCTTAATACGGTGAATGAATTTGCATGCCGAGTGGGGAAAGCGTTCTGAGAGAGGGGAAGAGGAAGCCAAAATGTATAGCGTCTGAGAGGAGGTCAGAGGGGGCATGCGAAATATTAATCGAAGTAATTTACGGTGGGTGACTTCTAACCTATGCATAAGAGCGGAGGATAGACCGGAGGACCAAACGAGAGAGCAGTAATCAAACAAAGGAAGAACATAATAGTGATAAATTTGTATTCGACAACCATGGTGTAGATGGGAGATGTGAGGAGAAAGTCAGCCTATCGCGGAGCAAACTCACTTTTCAATATAGGTTATGTGCGAATCCCAGGACAAGTGTTCATCAAGAAATATACCAAGGTGTTTGTGATTTTTAACAATGTTGATAGCAATGGGATCATCAGGGAAAGTAAAAAGCCGAGTCGTAAAGAGGGTGAGGTCACTGGAGGGTCGTGGGTAGGGTCCAGCAGATAATGCTCCGAAAATGTTCGTATAATGCTAACCATAATGCTCCAAAAACTGCCTTATAATGCAGATTATAATGCTTCAGCAGGGGATACAAGGCTCTTGGTTTGGGACAAAAATGGTAGAAAGTCTGCACATTGTCAAACTTCCAGGAAATTATGCATATCGTCGATCTGCATCTGAAGTTGCCACCTTATCTCTCACGAGCTCCACCACTTCTTAGCACTATAAGACATGATCGCTTCTCCATTGATTGCTCTCCATTCCAGCTTTGATGCAGGGTTGTGGCAGAATAGTCGGTGTATCAAATCTTTCCCCTCTAATTATCCATGTAGTGAGAGATGAAACCATTATTGCAGGTATTCATTCATTGTTGGGATGAAGTTAATCTTGGCAAATAGTATTCCTGCCTGCAGACAGGCTGTCACTGCATCCACTCTGTGAATAATGCCTTCATCTGAAACACCAGACGTGAGGCCAGCTCCTGAGATCCGATCTCAGATGGAGAGCTTTCCCATTTGCGGAAATCCTGAAAACACGTGATCAGAAGTTATTTTGCCACTCTACATCCTTTGCGTGTGCTCTCATCTTCTCCTTGAGATGGTGTGTAGACGTATGGCTTGCCACAATACTCTTCCTTTCTGATAGCATTTGACTGTAGGCCTGGCATTACAACCGTCCACAACTAACTGTACGTGCTTCATCAGGAAAGTAAGACAGGCGCTGCTGAGCAATCGACTTGGTACTGAGTCCATGAGAAATTCTAGTTCTTTTCGAGCCTCCTGAGTTGGACTCAGCAAAGGCAGTTCTTTTGGAACGAGCTCTTTCTGTTTATAGCCGCTCCTTCATCCTGGTCCAAATTTAGCAATGCATCAGTGTCTACTTCAGTATCGCTAGAGATGCTATCGCCAGAGCCTCTGGCACAACTAGAAAACTCTTCTTCATCTGTTTGATATGCACTTCGCGTATGTCTCCTCCATAGCTAGCTCTGCATTATTCTAAAACAAAGTAAAAGTAAAAGAAACCTCGTAAGTAATTTCTCCGGATTTGTGTCACTTGAACTGCCTCGGCCTCGGTTGGGCATGCTTCACAAATTAATGGCTTGTATACATTTACCTGACCACATCGCTACAATCATAACAGTTTTTATGTAGCAATAGTAATGTAGCGTTAGTGCTAAAGGTGTTACTTGTCTACACAATCACAAAGTCATTCGCCGGTACAATGCTTAGTGCTCAAATGCCCGGAATGGGAGGAGCGTAGTACGCAAGAGGTACACAAAAGGAGTAAAAATAGGGCTGTTTCGTTGTTACTCAGAGTTATATGGCAAAAACCAATCATCAGACAACATCTCATGATCATGATTCTAGCCGAATGTTGCCAAAACCTGGGATTTCCCGATATTATCCACTATGAAACTCGTTATGCCGCTCAAACCTCCCCTAATGCTCGTTTTGTTCCTTTCTAATGCTCCATAATGCTCTGATGCTCGGATAGTCGTATAATGCCGAATATAATGCCGGCATTATCCGCTGGACCCTAGTCGTCCTGGTCGTGGGGGGATACAAAGGATTGCCGTTTTCGACACCAATGGGCGGAGTTTCCACTTCGACATCCAGCGCACAACGTGATTAATGTGATACTGTAGCGAGTCGCAGGCTTGTAATAAGCCTGGCTCGGTTGTAATGTCGAAGGCCCTTTTTTTACTTTCTTCACGTTGCTTATTTTTTATAGTGATACATGCACATGTACATAACAACATTTTTTATGGAAATGCGGGCACTGTCAACTATGCAGCATGCTCATTTGTCAAAACGCCATGCTGGAAGTATTTCCTTGCCTTTCATGTGTCGATCGAAAAAGAAAAATCGATCGTATCGCATATAGTGATGCATCGGTTATTGATAAAATCACGGAAATCAAAAGGGTACGCTATAGCCGATACAGACTGTATATGGAATGGCAGGACTCGCGGACGGTGGGGGAGAGGCAGGGGTAGCCTAGGCAGCTTGACCGACCATAGGGTCTCGGCTTCATTGCAACCCAAGCGCTCCACAAAAACAAAAGATTACAGAAAATACGCGGGGGGGGGGGGGTGGGGCCGGGGGGGGGGGGTAGATAACTGGGGATTACGGGGAAAAGTATGCACAATAATCGCTATGGTTTATTTTCTGTCACTTTCCTTGGCTCTGACCGCTGGAATGCCCTCCCAGCGGAGGTCCGCTCAAGTTCTTCCTTGCATACCTTCCGTAATTCTGTTCTTCATTTTTTAGGGTACCCTGTCAAAAGGCCTTAGGCCTGTGGGGATTGCCCTATCAAAAATTTAATAATAATAATAATAATAATATTAACTGGTTTGAGGGAAAGAGACAAATATTTTGAGGGAAAGAGACAAATAATAATAATAATAATAATAATAAAAAGTTATCAGAGAGTAAACGAAGTGAATGGAGGAGGGAACAGAGTTAGAGCTTTTTTCGTCTTTTTCTTTGATTCATAGCCTGTCCGTTGCCCACTCCCAGCGGGTAAGGCGCAGCTGGGCGTTGACCTTTTCTTTGAACGTCTGCAGTCCTTTCCTTGTTGGCTGGTTCAGCAGAACGCGGCACTGCGGGAGCTGGTTCCACAACAGCGTCAGGGAAGGACCGAAGGACATCATTCCGTGCTCTGAGCGGAAGAGTGGAAGTGAGCTGAAACTGGTGTGAGGGATGCTTTTGTGTGCGTCGGCTATGGCGTGATGTGTTGGTCGCTCGAGGTGGAAGAAGGGTGAGAAGCATGTCTGGGCCAGTTGAAAAGTGGAGCTTGTACAGAAAGAAGAGTGATCCGACCATTCTGCGGATATCCAAGCTAGGGAGGTAGGCTCCATCGCCGATTAGGTGAAGGCCACGGCGTTGGATGGCAGTGAGGCGAGCCAGAGTGGTGGGTGCAGCGCTCATCCCACACGACCATACCGTACTCCAAAACCGTGCGGACAAAGCCCTTGTAGATCACTCCACGGCACCTGGAGTCCAGCACTCATGAGGCTGTCCGGAGGAAGCTGAGACGCTGCGAGCCTCGAATAGCCTGATATGAGCTGTGAAGGACAGGTGTTGGTCAAACAGCACACCCAGCAGCTTCAGCTGCAGCGCTGGTCAGAGGGTAGCTAGACCAGCCTTTGGGTAATCCTGAAATAAAGATTATTATAATACAGACCGCAGTCTCGTAGAGTCTACCGGGACGGGCGCATGCTCTCGAGCTCGATCCAAAAACCGAATCCCGCACTTGGCATGACAGATCAGAATGTAGCGGCTTTGCACCGCGACACGCCCGGTAGACCTACTAGTACTCGTACTAGATGATCTACCCATAGGCCATGGCCATATGCCATACCGGTATACCAGGCGCTAGCCCCGGAGTGGCTTGACTATGGTAGCAAGGAGTATGAACTATGGACCAAGAGTCCATAATGGGTTATGGACTCTTGCCCATACTCTATAGTGCACCTTCACCCTTCTTCGGACTCTGACCTTCAAGTTCGAAGTACACCTGTAATACACAAATTATTTTGTGCTGATATTGTGATCGTTTTATTTTACTTGATTCGGTGACTTCGTCTTACGCCTCACAGTCACAGACTCAGGTGTACACACGTCCAGTCCTACGCAGCCATTCTTGAGTCGAAGAGTTTCCCCCAGCCTAGGCCATGGAGAGTGGAAACTTCAAACTCAAGAGGAAAGTTCCATTGAGTTAGATGTATTGTTATTGAGAAGTAAGAGACCAGACCAAACCAGTTTATGCAAAGATTTGCGCTGTAATATCGAGTGTACAAGCAGGCCTGACTGACTTTGCATGCACCGCAGTTTGTCAGCCTTTGGGTAATCCTGTTATTATTATTATCCTCCTCCATAATCTTCGCTGCTCATCTTAGTTCACACCGCGTGGCATCGACGAAGGGAAATCAGTGAATGAAGTACAAGTAGAATCATTTTCATAAGGTCTACTGGAGAAATGCGATCAAAATGGACTCGAGTAACTCGACTTCAGTAAGGGAAAAGAATGAGCTGCCGTATCCGGTAGTTGCATCCGCTTGGGACACGTCCCAGACAGACTCGGAATGCGTTGGCACAGCGCATATCGTGGTAGTTGGTGACCTGGGAGTGGGCAAGACCAGCATTCTACTTCGCTTCATGGAGAACAGGTTCATTTCCGACCATGAGCCAACGATTGGAGTTGACTTCCGCGAGAAAGTGGTAAGAGTTCAACCACTGCAGTCACCCCCCCCCCCATTTTTGTGTGTAGAATGAACGCATTCCTTTTGTTGTCGAGTTGCTATTGTACTGCGAATGAAAATCAGTTTAGACTAAGTTACTTTGAACCTTGATGCATGCTCCCTGCATTCTGAGGGGGCTCAAAAATCCCCCTCGCTCCCCAGGCTCTAGTCTAGCCCTCCGCGGTGCACACAGGCTTGCATGCAGCATGTGTTACAAATAGGAGATCCCCCCCCCCCCCCGATAGGCGTCAGCCCTTGGGTAGTCCTGAAATAAAGATTGTAAGTATATGCGCACGCGCATGTGGTTAGGCTCAGAAAGGGTTTTGGTTTCTTTGTCCCCAACTGTACTTCGAGGTTCGAGATATCACTGAAAGTGCAAGGCCACAAAGGTCCAGAGTGGAAGGGAATGCTTGAATGATACCACTCTACCCCACACTTCTCCATCCCTTTAGACCTGGACGGACGGGTGACCCCTCTCGCCCCCCTCCCCCCCCCCCCCACACACATATACACTTTATAGCGAAGGTTCTAGGGAGTGCTTGCATGCCTCCGGTCTAACTCTAAGGGCCCATCAGAGGATTGTACTTACATGTACATGTAGCTCAATTGCCAAGTGTTCCCTCAAGAATAAAATAAATAAATTCGACAGGTTCGCGTACCGGGCAGGTCAAGAACAAGGAGTCGTACAACTCCCTGGTCAAGAACCACCTTTTCGCTTCCGTGGGACGCCACCACCCCATGATCAGGCGTCAGATGCGGCTCCTAAACGGTGGGGGAGGATAGATCAGATCCACCAACCAGAGGCCAAAGACCTAAATCCCATATGCCACGGTACCTCTCGTTTCTCAATCATGGTCTTAGACCAACCCACTGTTCCCTCAAGAGAGACAGTTTATTCATTCTTCTCTCTATGTGTGTATAAGGCTTCGAGCCCAGGTGTTTTGAGCACTGTCTCGAGCTGCCACATGCAGCTTGCTCAACCTTGTTAATTCATTGTCACGTGTTTTCTTCCCAAACACCACTCGTGCACACGTGCCCTCCCCCCCCCCCCCACACACACACACGCACATGCATGCACATGTACACACACGCACACGCATGCGCACACCGGAACTGTTTCAGGTCGAATGCGATGCAGTCGCAGTCAATGTGGTCTTGGTGGATACTGCAGGGCAGGAGAGGTGAGCTGGCACGGTCATGGGTTAAGTGAATGCCATGTACTGTAGTGTGTGGTGTCTGTTTGCCCAATACGAAATGGGTCCTAGAAAAAATGGGTCTCACAATACGTCACTGTGCACATTAGAGAATGGTAAAAGTAAAGTAAGTTATCGTGTCCGTTCCCGAAGGGAACTCACGACGGCCGCTAACACCCGGTAAACCCTAGCGGCAGATGCAGCGCCTAACGGTGGGGGCGAGTGGATAAGTCTCACAACCACTGGCACAAGTGCCGAGAAAGACCCCATTAGCCGCATCCATGTACCCCTTGTGCCTGGCCACAAGTTCCCAGTTGACTGTGGGTAGCAGCACGGCTGGAAAAAACGCTCCCAGGCAGGACTTGAACCAGGTACCTCTTGTATTTCAATCATGGTCTTTGACCAACCCACTGTACCTGCCTGGTAAGACACCTCTAAACGTCTCTTGTCTCATTTAGTTTGATTCCATCGTCTCTCTCTTTCTCCGCGTGCGTTGTGCTCACCTTGCTCCCCCCCCCCCCTAGCCCTCGTTTTGCCCTTTGCTGGTATTTAACCACCTAACGGATCCTTTTGGTCACTGCTCACCTTTTGCCAGGAGCCGCATGGCATAGACATCAGAGAAGTAGAAACAACGACAACGAAATTCCTGGCTGCTGGAATATTGCTTGGTACGCTGAGCACAGAGTATTTCACGTGTGGAGGACAAGAGACCATTCAGAATGTGTTGCAGTTGCCTACTGTACTGATTATCACAGTGCTGCTCGATGAAATCCGATCACATGAGTCAAGTTTGCGCCCTGCACCAGTTCACATCCCGGTATCCGCTGGTCTAGGGCTACACAAAGCCTGGCGTGGCATTGACTTGCTCGACCAGATTGCTTTGAGCAGTGCTGTACATGCACACTTATAGACTCTCAGTTGTAGCAAAATCCCAACTCGGCAAAGGGATGATCATGAACTTCAAAGTATTCACATTCGCGGCACATGCCGAAAGGTGGCAATATATGAAGGGGCGCTTAGGGCAGTTAATGGAGCAATTTGTAAGGCAGGGTGCCATGGATCATGCGGGAACGTCGCTCTCAGCTCAATGAGGCCCGCATCATTCTGCTGTAGCTCAGCCTTTCCTTCTGCTCTGTGTTGACTGCTGCGCAGGTATTACGCCTTGACGAAGTCCTTCTATCGGTCGGCGTCGGGTGTTATGCTGGTGTTTGACCAGTCGTGCGAGGAGAGCTTCTCTCACATCCCAGATTGGCTGCAGCGCACTAGAGAGGCATCGTTCGTGGCCGACCTGCCGTGTTTGCTGATTGGCAACAAGGCAGACTTGCCGGACGAGCAGCGGGTGATATCGCACGAGCGTGCTGAAAAGCTAGCCAAGACGCTGGGCTTGAGCTACGTGGAGACCAGCGCTGCCACCGGCGACGGGATCGTGCCCAGCATTCTCTGGCTGGTCAGAGATGTGCTGCGGAGCATGCCCACAGGTGACGGCTTGGACGACGTTGACACAAAACTGCTGGCAGGCATGCCCACAAGAGGCAAGCCCAAGCGTCCGGATAATCAATATTCATGGAGAACCTGCAGCTGCTGATCTGGCAGGGGGAGCTCTCTCCTCCACGTATGCAGAACATGTGTGTGAAAGAAATGCTGATAAGTGGCCAGTGATGTATTCCAGTGGCACCAGCAACTAACTCATACACACGTGGTTGGCATGGCATTGTGTAGGCCAGTAACTGGTGGCTGGTGCAAAGCATTCTGCTCAGTGCTCCGCTGAAATCGTGTCGGTTGTGGCCGATGCAGGAATCAGAAAACCCGGCCGGCTGCGTAAGCTTCACTTGGAGCTGAACCGTATGTGATAAGCACACTGGAATGATGGCATGTTCACTCAAAGTTTGACAGTAGTATGGGATTATGAGCTATTCTCTTTGATGATGGCATAACATTGATATACAGTCTGTATCGGCTATAGCGTACCCTTTTGATTTCCGTGATTTTATCACTATAACCGATGCATCACTATATGCGATACGACCGATTTTTATTTCTTTTTTCCGATCGACACATGAAAGGCAAGAAAATACTTCCAGCATGGCGTTTTGACAAATGAGCATGCTGCATAGTTGACAGTGCCCGCATTTCCATAAAAAAATTCTGTTATGTACATCTACATGTGTCACTATCAAAATAAGCAATGCGAAGGAAGTAAAAAAAACAGGGCCTTCGATATTATTGCAACATGTATTTTAAATTTATCACTATAGACGATAATAATGTAGTGTGTTATGCATGTTTTGATTCTTTGTTGCCATCATAATATCTGATATATCATTACATCCGATAATATTGGTTATAGTGATATTTTAATATAGCTATGAATAGGATGAAGGCCGCAGACATCACGCAACTACGTTACTTGTTCGACATGTATTTTACTGTGTATTTTATAACAAAAATATTATTGAAAACCCATAATCGATTTTCTTGTTCCTATCATCAGTGGGAAAGATACGGAACTAAGGATACAACCAAAGAAACTGAAGTTAAGTACTGTAAATAGAAATGTGTTAGAAATAACAACAAAATACAAGTGCAATAAAACCACTAGAGGAAACGCAAAAAGGTAACAAGATTACGTAACCAAAGGCGAGAAGGCGCTTAAAGGAAGTGTCAACCTACGAATATTATTATTATTTTGTTTTACATCGGAAGCTCAACACTGCAGCTGCACAAATATGAAGAGGCCGATGGGACCAAAAGAAATAAAAAAAACAAAAACAAAAAAACAATGTATGTACATTAGTGTAAATGTTCATACATCAGTGTAAATGTTCAAATGTTTAGAAAAATGGGGGATGAGTGGTGAACATAAAGAGAAAAGAAGAAAAACGTATGCTGAATGAACCTGGGCAATATTATACATGTAGCTGGTGAGAGACTAAACGTTGCCAACGTTGTCAAACAAAATTGCACGATATCGTTCAAACCAAACTGGATCATCCAATAACTTGCAATAAGCGCTTAAAACCACGATCAAACTGAGAGGTAAACAAAGAGGATTTCAAGTCATTAGGTAGAGCATTAAAAAACAGAGCAGCACGAAGCACAAAGGATTTTTGACCGAGTGTTGTTCTGCATTTTAAATACGGGATATCATGTGTGTCGCGATTACGCGTGCTCCGGGTAGATTGCGGGGCTGGGAATAACGATGTAAATACAGGCAAAGGGCAAAGAATATGATTAATGAAAATGAACTTCCCAGTTGACACCAGAAAATAGTAGTCCAGGGGCTTAACATCAAGGTTTTTCAGAAGACCAGAATACAACTTCAGTGCAACAACGTGCTCCTTCTGCTTACACAAAACAGGCTTATGAATACGTATACAGACTGCCTCAAGGACTTTCAACTGTTGGACAGTTGAAAGTCCTTGAGGCAGTCTGTATACGTATTCATAAGCCTGTTTTGTGTAAGCAGAAGGAGCACGTTGTTGCACTGAAGTTGTATTCGTAGGTTGACACTTCGTTTAGCGCCTTCTCGTCTTTGGTTACGTAATCTTGTTACCTTTTTACGTTTCCTCTAGTGGTTTTATTGCACTTGTATTTTGTTGTTATTTCTAACACATTTCTAGTACTTAGTTTCTTTGGTTGTATCCTTAGTTCCGTATTTTTCCCACTGATGATAGGAACAAGAAAATCGATTATGGGTTTTCAATAATATTTTTGTTATAAAATACACAGTAAATACATGTCGAACAAGTAACGTAGTTGTGTGATGTCTGCGGCCTTCATCCTATTCATAGCTATATTAAAATTATTATCTCCACGTAGATTATTTGTATAGTGATATTTGTACTGGATAAAGTACGTTTTGCTTTTGATATTTCGTACCAATATCACTGTAGCCGATATATTCTTATATCCGGTCACTCTATAGCCGATACAGACTGTACATAACATCTGTGGACAACTCTCAACAAAGGACAGCTCCACATTTAAAAAAGTACATTTCTCCAGTCCCAAATGTTTTCAGTCCGACTCCGTGGTGGAGAATTCTGTGGTCATGGCACCCCCCTCTTGAGGTTACGATGAGTCGCATCATCAGTATACATATACATATACATGCATGCTTTGTGTGGAGTGGTGAATTGGTGCTCGTGATGTCACTGCTTGCAATTTTAACATCTAATAATGACGAATGATGTCATTGCCTAAATCTATACAGGATACAATTGTCTGATACCGAATTAGGGACTGATTGTCAGTAATTGGGCGGTTCCACTGAGTCTGTACTTTGCAACTTTCTTCTCAGTTTGCACCCTTATATCCGGGTCCACTATGCATGAAAACACCAGAAAAATTCCTCCGGTTTCTCGCCGGCATTTGAATTCCGGATTCCGTCAAGGGCTAACTCACCTTTGGCCCCTTTCTCACATTATTCCCCAACTTAGAACATTCCAGGTTGGAAGGCTGATGACTGGTAGCAAGAGTAAATAAGCTCAGAGCTTGTACTCCTTTAAAATAGTAGCAAGAGTACCATTAGTAGGCTTTCCCCAAATCGGCCCGGGTTTTTTCTTCGCCATTATTTTCGCCTTTTCGCTAAGCCCAAAAATACATCAGATTCGGCTGCAAAATCAGCTGATTGTTTGAAAATCGGCTGCCAAATTGGAATATATTGGAAAATCGGCTAAAAGAATTGTTGGCATATTGGCTTCAAGATTTGGTAGATTTTCGGCGATTCTCAAAGAAACCCTCCAACATCGGCGAAAAGCTTAGCGACTTTTCGGTAAGTCTCTTTTTCTTTAGGAATGGGTTTGCTCCCACACTGGAGCTCGCGCTATTCCGCCGACGACTTGACACTTGACTGACTCACGACTGCCATCCAGAGAACAAGAGAAGTCCATCCAACCTTCGACTCGGCAAACCTGCAAGAAAGCACGCGAGGAGCTATTCCTAAATCAGGAAGCCGTGTTTCGCGTATGTTCATGCCGATGAACTCACTCCCGTTGACTTTTCACGGCTTGCTAAATGGTCCAATCCGAGACGTGCACGTTGCAGCTAAACCTCAGGTCGTTGAATATCAGAACCACTTGTCAGTGTTGTGCTAGCTGATGTATGTCTGCGGGCTTCCCAGTATCTTGTCT